TCTTTGAATCCATTCCTATGCTGGGAGCATCAGATACACTGAGTTCTCCCTGTGTTTGAGGAGCAGCCCTAGCATTGCCAGGCCCCCCGCCCACTGCTCTAGCACCTTCCACATAGACATAGCCAGGCCACTGCCCCTGCAGCCTTCACTGTCCATGTGAACGGGGCTCCTGTGAGATCAGAGCCCCTTCTGTTGGGAAGCAGTCTGGGCGGCCACTCGCAGCCACGGCCGGCTCAAAGGCTGTTGTGATGGACTTAGGTGGTAGGCTAGCTCAAAGGGTCCACTTCTGATGCCACAGAGGCTGATGCCCCGGCCTTTGCTCCTTGAGTGTCTATCCCGATGAGAGCTGAACCATGGGGCAGGTGGAACTGGAAACTGCTCTGCCTGGCTGGGCTGTTCAGACTGTGTTCCATAGAACCCTGAGTGCTCAATGTTCAGGGTCCACTCCATGGTGGCATCCACTGTCTTTTAAAATAAACCTTGAACTACCAGGAACTCACCAGTCCTCTGCCCACTGAAATGCCTTGTATGCCCACCTCCGAGGCCACCTCCCTGTTGGCCTGTGGCTCCCTCCTGAAGACTGCTAAGGTTGTAGATGGGCCACTGCAGCCTGTCACCAATCCTGGTTCCAGCATGTGACTCTGCTCAGATACAGGCACCGTCTGCCTGCCTGCTAACTATGGCTTAGTCCCCCACTTCTGGTCTCAGTGTTGTTTCTATTAATGTGGTGCTTATTGTCAGGCATCATCCTGAGTCGGCATGATAATTTTCTTTCAGAAGTTCAAATTTGTGTCAACTCTTTATTTTATTCGTGCGTGTTACATTGGAATTCCTTGTAAGGAGTCATTTGAAATTAAGTTACAGCCACAAACTAAAAATGGCAGTGACCATCACTGTCTTTTCTTTCAGGTACTTTTTCTTGATCACCCAAAAAAGAGGATTCGGGACACACAGAAATACAAGCCTTTCAAGAGTCAGGTGAAGGTACTTAGCATGGTCCCCTTTGTTGTGGTTCTTTGTGTTTTGCTGGTTCACATAATTGGAGCTTCTAGTCCCTGGTAGCTGACTTATGGGCAAAAGGGGTTTTGTTTGCCCTTAACCCAACTAAAAGGAATCTTGGAAGAAAAAGTTTTAAATGTCACCCTTAGAAGTTTGGGTGACCTAGGGCAGGTTATGCTCACCTCTGATCTCTGAAGAGACCAGCAGAGGGTGCTGAGGGCACAGCCTGCCCCTGAGCTGAGCGGGAAGCAAGGCTGGAGGACAGAGATGCAGGTTCCTCCCGCCCTCACTGTGGCCTGGCAGGGTGTCACCAGCCACAGGTGCTTCCAGTGAAGGTCACTTGGGTTGGGGTGCAGAGCCTGCAGCTTGGGCAGCACCTGCAGGGGCCTCTGCCCAGTGGGGCTGTGTGCTGTCCTCTGCCTCCACAGAGTGGAAGACCGTCCCTGAAGCTGCTGGCAGAGAGAATCCTAGGGATCCAGGTGCAGCACGCAGAGCACTGCTCGGTGAGTCTCCTGGGGTGTCAGTCCTCGGGATTGGGGGCCATCCTGTCACCTGGTGGCAGACACGGTGCGGCCTAGGCAACTTCTTTAGAAAGCTGCTGGTCCATAATAAATGACCTGGCACAGCGGGCTCACAAAGGGTTAAATTCTGAACGTTTACGTTAAGCTAGCACAATACTAAAAAACTATTGTAATTGTTTGGAGAAAAAGTCCCAGTTAGGGCTGTGTGGCCCGCGCCAGAGGCCCCCTTGGCCCTCTGTGACAGGTCCTGAGATGTGGGTGCCAGACTGCTGGCCCCGGAACCCATCCCTGCTGCACTGTGGCCATTAGCCCTCTGGGCTTTTTCTGCCCGGCGCCTTGTGCCCGGGCGCCAGGCTCAGTGGCATCAGGCTCAGGGTGCACCATCCGTCCACCAGCATTCTTAATGTTCGGTGTTGTCTGAGGCTCCTCACGAGGAGCACGCTGGGCCTGCACGCCTTCGGGCTCCTCCTGAGTGGGGCACTGAGCTGCAGGGGCGCAGTGAGGGCCCTGTCACCGTCACTGGAGCACTGCCCTGCTTGCTTCCTCCTCCGCTTACCCAGGGTTTGGCTTTCAGGCTCAGGAATTGTGGGATTGACTGTCATGTGGCCATGCGTGTGACCTGCTGGGGTAGTTATCGGGTGTTCTGTCACCTAGATTCAGGATGCCCAGGTAGCAATGAGACTCTACGTCACGGTGAAGAAGGAATGGGAACGCACGGTCCAGGACAGGCGCCCCGCGGCCACCGTTCCAGACGTCGGCAGGGACAACATGTAATGGGAGCCACCGCCCCACAGCAGCATCTCTGTCCATAGGCACTCATGACCAAATGACAGGACAGATCAAGTCTCCTCACAGTGGTGACAAAATCGTGGCAGCAGGGGATGGGGCAAACATGCTGCCGGGAACAACCTCTTCCCTCTGATTTCTCCATCTAAGACCTGGTCGTGCCCTGGGGGACATGCTGCATGGTCAGCAGCATTTGTCCTGGGTACAGCAAGCAGGTGGCGGTGGGGACCCATGTGTAAGCACCTGGCCAAGCCCCAGAGTCAGGACATCAGGACAGGAGTTGGGGCTGTGCCTACACCCTCCTGTCCCCACCCATGTGGCAGCCCGCTTGCTGGGTTTCGCTGCATCCCAAGGCAGGAAGTACCCAGTGTTCACTGGTGATGTGAAGATCTCTGCCAGACTCGAGGAGCCCAGACCGGTGTCTGCAGCCAGCTCAGCCACAGCCTCACTGAGGAGTTTTCTGTGGCCTACTTTGGATTTGGAGACTTCTGATGGTGTCCTTCTCTCCCCACCCCCCACTTGCCACCAAATTTAAACTCGAGGTCATAGCCGCATTGTGGCCCCTGAGCATGGTGATAAGTTATTGAAGTGCCTCTCCCATGCTGGGACCGACATGCTGGCCTCGGGCGACTGGAGCTAGAAAAGTGGGTTCCCATGGGTAGCCTGGCCCAGGATCTCTGAGAACAAGAGTGGGGAGCAGCCAGGTGCCCGAAGCCCAAGGCTTTCTTGCACTTCCTGACAGGTACAAAAAGGTCCAAACTCACCAAGGAAATGATCGGACATAAATGAGGTTTTTACTTGAGACGGAGCTGATGGAGCCTGTTTCTTCCCTTGTTCAGAAAAGTCTGGAAGGCCTGGTGTGTCTGATGCTGCCACCAGATCCAGCCAGGGCTGAGCCTTGTACAGAGACTAGAATCCAGCACCACAGCCACCCCCTCCCATCCCTAAGGAAAATGCCATTTCAGTGGGCAGCTTTATGAGCCTCGAGAGAAGGCACTGGGTGGGAGACGGGCATGGGCGATCTACCTCTGGCTGAAGCCTGCTGCCCCCTGGCAGAGCGGGGCAGCCCGGCCACCTCCAGTCTCAGGAGTACTCTCTGTGCATAGGAGGCCAGCTCCTGGGAGGAGGAGACAGGTAGGTCTGTGGCTTCACCGCTTGTCTTTGAGGAACTCTGATTCCCCTCCTCAGGATTTAGACATGGAACCACAGACAGTGATCCAGGTCACTCCCACATAAACCTGGTTCTGTGGGCCATAGAGGTGGGTGTGAGGCCTGGTTTGTGGAGGCCCTGCCAACACTCACCAGGCTGGAGGTGAAGCGCTCCTTGATATCCTGGACAAGGGGCTGGATGCCACTGCTCACCAGCTCAGACAGGATATCCTCTGTGGGCAGAGCGAGGGTCCTGAGGCGGGGCCCTCTGCCCCTCTCTGGGCGCCCCAAGCCCAGCCGGCCTGATTCTCCCATGACTCCCGGCTCGAGCATTTCTGAGAAGGCCAGCAGGGCAAGGCTGGGCCCGTCCCACTTGGGCTTACCATCAACACCCCAACCCTGGGCTCAGGAGCTGGCACTGCAAAGCCGGCCCAGTGCATGGTAGGCACTCGTGTCACAGGAAAGGGACATTCAGAGGGATGGTGGGGAAGGGGATTCTCACGGTAGGAAACGAGGTGGACCAGCAGCAAGCACAGGTTCTCCACCACCTCAGGGTGGTCCTTGTGAAGCTTGTAGGTGTCCTTGATGAGGGTAAGGCCGCTGCCTTCTTCCTGTGGCGCCACCACCCGCAGTGCCGCCATCTCTGGGGGGGCGAGGGGAGGTAGGTGACAGAGTTTGTTGCTTGCAGCTGCCTGTGCCTCTGTGACCTCTGAAATGGGGTGATGGCAGGACCAGGTTCCTAGGGCGGTTGTGTGCAAAGTGCTTGGGACAACACGGGCCTCAGCCGCTGGCAGAGGAGGCCATGGTTTCCTGCAATTGGGACCTCCGAGGTCACTGTTCTCCACTGCAGTTGTAAAGCTTGTAAAAGCATCTGCCTGCCTCGTTTCCTAGTGGGAACCAGCACCCACCTCCCTCTCCCCCCAGGCAGCAAAAGGCCCTGAGCCCCTCAGGGGTGGTCCCTGCCTGTAGGGAGGGCACTGGGTGCTCCACGGGCCACTAAGCAGTGACCTGGGATGCCATGTAGGCGACTCATTCTCCGGGAACCTGGGGTGAACTGACATTTAGTTGAGATGACTCACACAGCCAGCAGGTGGCCAAACTACAGTTCTCACTGGGACTCTTGACTCTGGGGTCCTGCTCACTGGATGCGGACAACCCTGCTCCTTGTGAGCTGAGCCAAGTCCCTTTCGCCCTCAGGACCTCAGCCTCCACTCCTGCCCCACAAGGACACAGGTCACCTCCAACACAGACTGCTGCTGGTGGGACCTTGGGCAGGGTGGGGCAGGCCTGGAGCCCAGGGTGCCTCCATCTGAGAGGGAAGACTCTGCCACGCTCTCTGGAGCCTCCCTCCCAGGAGTGACGAGGGTCCCACTCCCTTCAGGCCCAGGCAACTGCAGGCTGAGTCTCAGACAGAGCCTGGCTTTGCTTGCCTGGCCCAGCGCAGCCCAGCCTGTGCACACGCCCCAGAACACTGGGTTAGGACCAGACCTTAGAGGGGCTGAACCCCCCACACACACACACCAGCTGGAGACCTTGGCCGGTCCCTAGGCCGCAAGGTTCTGCCAAGGGTTATTATAGGGGAGCCGGGCACAGGGCCTGGCATAGTGCGTGCGTGACACAGCGGGGTTTGTGTTGTGGAATGGGAATTGAGAGACCTGTCTCCTGGGCTGTTTTAATACGGTAGACCTGTAGGAAAATCTGTGCAGGCCCATGGACAGGGAAAGCCAGGAAGAAAAGTACCCAACGTGTATGTCTCCAAGGCAACTTCTGACTGCTGGGACTAGAGGCTGTTTTCCTTTCCTTTCTTTGATGGTTTGCTTTTGTTTTGGGCAGCTAGCAGAAATCACTTGAGTTTTGCCCCTACCTCCCAGTGGCAGCCAGGTGTGTCCCCAGGCTCACCGGACACCTTAGCAAGGCTCGCCAGCCCTCGGTAGGCGCTGTTCACCAGCAGGACTCTGTCCTGGCACAGCCGGATGCTTTGCAGGAACAGGGACACTACTTCTTCAAACAGGTGCTCCTTTATGCAGCCTGCAGCGGGGCAGTGTGGCCTTGTCACCTCCCGGGCCCAGGGGCCACCCCTTCCAGCCCCTGGGGCTTAGTACCCTCACCTAGCAAGGACAGCAGCCAGAGGACCGCACAGCCGGCTTCAGCCATCTCCGCATCCGCAGGGTAGGTGGCGAGCAGCCTAGCAATGAGGACGGGGGCTTTCTCCAAGGAGGCCTTGCTCACAGTGACAGCTGGAACCAGGACAGGATGGAGGACGGGACACCTGGCCCTTGGGTGCATGTGGGAGTGTACACATGGCCCCCCAATTCTGCCCCCAAGGACAACAGAGCAGAAGCTGTGGTGAGGTCAGTTGTCTGCAGAGATGGGAAGGTGGCTGAGGTGAGGGGGGAGCTTTCTATCCCACTAGGGAGATTGCGGAGGGTGAGGATTCTCTGAGTCCCAAGGGGAGGCTTGGGGACTTCTGCACTGGGTGTGAACAGGGCTCTCCCAGTTTCTGGGGCTTTCCATGGTGAGGAGCCCTCTTTTTCTTGGGTAAAACTACCACCCCAGTGCTGGTGAGCCAGGATGGGGCCTGGAGAGGAGGGAGGAGCACAGCCTGAGTCCCTTTTCTGAATCAAAAATGAGGCCAGGATGCCAGAGCCCAGGCTAAGTTCTGGAACCAGGGACTGTCCGAGAAATCCCAGGCCGTGGGTCCTCTCCCCTTCTTTCATTCCCTCTGCTCTTGGCTCTCAGAAGAGCCCTTCATGGGCCAAGGTTTGTCCTGAAGTGGGTAAGGAACAGGACGAGAAGGAACCCTCACCATCCACCAGCAGGACCCAGAGCAGGCTCAGGCCGGTGATGCAGATGTCCTTGTTGCTGGAGGTGTCCAGGCGCTCCAGGATGTGTTCAAACAGCCCTGCCTTCTGCAGCTCCTCTGCATCGCACTCTGTTGGGTGGGCCCCGGAATTAGGACTGTAGAGAGCCCCTCCTCCAAGAAGCCCACCCTAAGCACCACCTTCATCCTATGCTGTTCTCGGGCACTGCAGTCCCATGCAGCTCACATTCCTGGGCCCCTGCCCGGTCAGTCTCATGCCCAGCGTGGGGTCCAGAATCCATCCCCTGGGCACAAGTCCCAGCATCTCCCATCCCATTACTGGGCTGGGCCTGGCCCATGTAGCTTTCCTTCCAAGGGACCTGGCCCTGCCTCCTGGGGCTGCAGAGCAGGCCTATCCTTTCGAAATGGTGCCCTTTCCCAGCAGGACGGCCGGACACCCAGCGTGCCCGAGAATCCCGATGGGCGCCTGTTGTCCCAATGTGCCTATTCATAGCACCCTTTTCACTCCCCAAAGTAGATTATCAGATGCCCAGCCCCAGCCCCTGGCCGGCCACGGGACTCGCTGTGTCTTTGGGCTTCCAGAGGACCCGATGAGGTGGGGAGGAGTGACGCTGTGAGGCCCTGGGTACTGCCCTCCTCCACACTGTCCCCGTCGGGCTGCCCTGCCTGCCTGCCCGGCGGCCTCAGGAGCCCAGGTGCTCTGTGGAACGGAGGTGAGCAGGGCAGAGGGGCAGCGAGGGCGCCAACGTGAAACAGGCCTCGGCGTGAAGCCCGAGCCAGGGCCTGTGCTCATTTGTGGAGGAAACGAGAAAAGGGCGAGCTGGGGGAGCAGGCCAACCAAAGGCAGAGCAATGGAGCCGGGAGCGGGCCCAGCCCCTGGCAGCCAGCCGCGGCTGCAGGGGGCAGGCAGACCCACCCTGGCTGCAGACAATGGCGAGGAGACTGTAGACCATGACCACGAGCTGCTGGGCCTCCGGGTGCCTCCACATGACGCTCAGCAGGACAGAGGCGATGGAGCTGTCCCTCGGCACCTCGGCGGCCGGGTCCTGCGCCAGTGCTGCGTGGGCCAATGGAAGAAGCCTGGGGTTAACCCCCAAAGCTGGGGCCCAGGGGCCACCAGATAGCATCAGGCGTGTTCCCTCCCTAACTTCATGTGAAGGAATTGGAGGTGGGCCTTGTTCTGACACAGCAGGTCCCCACGAGTGCTTGCGGCACGAGGGCGTGAAGGATGCAAGGGCGGGGCACCTGCCCAGCCGGCACAGCCAGACGGGCCCCATGCAGCCCGTACAGGTCCGGAGACCCCGGGCCTGTGCCGAGGAAACGTTTCACACGCACGAAAGCACCCACCTTGGCCCAAGGTGCGCAGCAGCAGGGAGCAGGCGCACAGCTGGATGTCAAGGAGCCTCTCGTGCTGCTTCATGATGATCAGCAACACCTCCACCACCTCCATCGGCCACGGCAGACCTGGAAGGGCGCGTGGGAGGTGAGCCTGGGCAGAGGAGCAGGGCGGAGGGGTACAGACCGCACTGGGCGCTGGACGGTGCTGGCATCTGCCGGGCATCACGCAGGGGCGCCCGGTGGACGAGAAGGCGGTGAGGAAATGTGACCAGTCGCCATGCTGAGTGCCTGCCATGTGACGCTGGCACGGCCCTGAGCAGACTACCTATGACCGCCTCACACACAGAGAACACTGGGCAGAGTGCTGCCTTTGGCTCCCGAGCCCCGGGCTGTACCTGCCCTGAGAGTGGACATCTGTGGTCCCGGGGCCGTGCTGTGCACTGGGGGGGACGGGAGGCTGTGGCACAGCTGAGGGTCCTTCCCGGCCACGCCCGGTCCCCACTGCGGCTCCCCTCCCAGCCTCTTTCCTCGTCGTCGGAAGAGTGCGGCAGGAGCCCCTCCATCTCAGGCTGTGTGAGACTAGCAAGGACTAAAGAGCCGGCCCCAGGGACCCGAGCCACAGCCAGTCACCTGCACACTCGTCTGAGGCAGGTGTGGCTCCGGGTGGGTGGCAGGAAAGGCCACTGTGGGAAGGGGCCCAGCAGCCGCCCTCAGTTTCTCCAGGAAAGCAAAATCTCCTTCCCATGGACTCTATCCTGGCCGCAGCCTAGCTCCAGAGGGGGTCACGGGGAAGGAGCAAAGGGAGGAAAAGGCAGATGGCCAATATGAGGTNAGGGGGCAGGCAGACCCACCCTGGCTGCAGACAATGGCGAGGAGACTGTAGACCATGACCACGAGCTGCTGGGCCTCCGGGTGCCTCCACATGACGCTCAGCAGGACAGAGGCGATGGAGCTGTCCCTCGGCACCTCGGCGGCCGGGTCCTGCGCCAGTGCTGCGTGGGCCAATGGAAGAAGCCTGGGGTTAACCCCCAAAGCTGGGGCCCAGGGGCCACCAGATAGCATCAGGCGTGTTCCCTCCCTAACTTCATGTGAAGGAATTGGAGGTGGGCCTTGTTCTGACACAGCAGGTCCCCACGAGTGCTTGCGGCACGAGGGCGTGAAGGATGCAAGGGCGGGGCACCTGCCCAGCCGGCACAGCCAGACGGGCCCCATGCAGCCCGTACAGGTCCGGAGACCCCGGGCCTGTGCCGAGGAAACGTTTCACACGCACGAAAGCACCCACCTTGGCCCAAGGTGCGCAGCAGCAGGGAGCAGGCGCACAGCTGGATGTCAAGGAGCCTCTCGTGCTGCTTCATGATGATCAGCAACACCTCCACCACCTCCATCGGCCACGGCAGACCTGGAAGGGCGCGTGGGAGGTGAGCCTGGGCAGAGGAGCAGGGCGGAGGGGTACAGACCGCACTGGGCGCTGGACGGTGCTGGCATCTGCCGGGCATCACGCAGGGGCGCCCGGTGGACGAGAAGGCGGTGAGGAAATGTGACCAGTCGCCATGCTGAGTGCCTGCCATGTGACGCTGGCACGGCCCTGAGCAGACTACCTATGACCGCCTCACACACAGAGAACACTGGGCAGAGTGCTGCCTTTGGCTCCCGAGCCCCGGGCTGTACCTGCCCTGAGAGTGGACATCTGTGGTCCCGGGGCCGTGCTGTGCACTGGGGGGGACGGGAGGCTGTGGCACAGCTGAGGGTCCTTCCCGGCCACGCCCGGTCCCCACTGCGGCTCCCCTCCCAGCCTCTTTCCTCGTCGTCGGAAGAGTGCGGCAGGAGCCCCTCCATCTCAGGCTGTGTGAGACTAGCAAGGACTAAAGAGCCGGCCCCAGGGACCCGAGCCACAGCCAGTCACCTGCACACTCGTCTGAGGCAGGTGTGGCTCCGGGTGGGTGGCAGGAAAGGCCACTGTGGGAAGGGGCCCAGCAGCCGCCCTCAGTTTCTCCAGGAAAGCAAAATCTCCTTCCCATGGACTCTATCCTGGCCGCAGCCTAGCTCCAGAGGGGGTCACGGGGAAGGAGCAAAGGGAGGAAAAGGCAGATGGCCAATATGAGGTCTCTGCTGCCTCATTACAGGCCAGGAAGGGGCCTCTGAAATCTCTGATGCCCTAGCCATGGGACAGACCTCTGTGGAAGGATGGATGGTGGACAAAGGAATGAGAGAAAGAAACGGATGGAGGGTGGGTGGATGGTTGATGGATGGGTGGACAGATAAATGAACAGATGGATAGGTAGATGGAGGGATGGAGGGATGGATAGAAAGATGGTTGATGGATGGGTTGACAGATGGGTGAATGAACA